TGGTAACATGAAAATCAGGCAACAGACTAATGTCAATCATAGTATGGAAGGGTATTAAACAAATTGTTTGATTGACAGCAGTGTATTGCCTAATTTYCCTGTTGTGACTGTTATGTTGATCAGCATGACTATAAGAGTCGAATCTCGCCTATTTGCTACCTAGAGTGACGTCTTATTAATAATATTATTAATATTAAAAGATATTTCCAGTGGGACCTATCTGCTRCCTGCACTAAAATAGTCAGAGTGGTCATGTGGTTGTTCTGTTTGGATACCAACTTCAGAGATATTCCCAGAAGAACTAGATGAAAAGTTATATTCATCGCTACTGGAACTGGACTCRTTTTCACTGCTTCCATTAGAGTCTTGGCCTCTATTTCTATTCTGTTCTTTCTGTGCCATCGACAGGTATACTGGTAATCCTCCAGGTCCTGCTAGTCCAGATGGCAACCCACCTAATCCTGACCCCATTCCTCCAAAACCTGTACCCATTCCTCCAAGACCTGACCCCATGCTGAAGCCGGCACCCATTGGTCCATATACAGGCGATGGGCCAGGACCCATTGGTGATGGATGAGGCAGCCCAGACATTGAAGAACCATAGAAGCCAAGTCCTGGATTAATCAGAGTTGCGGCAGGAAGCGTCCCATTCACGTTGTTGCTCGGCATTTGGATTCCTGGGTGAAGTGCAACAGGAATGTAGTGGGTACCAGCAGGGTGGAGTGCATAGGTTGGGAACCCATAAGACGGTGGATAGAAATGATTTGGGAATGGCATGGAGTTATTGTTCGGATACTGTGAAGGAAAGCTATTTCCATTACCATTCATGTCRTTGTTGTTGCCAGAGTTATTGCCATTCATGCTCTCAGGATTACTATTATCGTTTGAAGAACTCCGACTACTACTTCCAACACTCCTGTGACCCTTGTGATATGCAGGGTTATTACTTTCCTCAAGGAATCCCATTACGGTTAGATTCTTGGGTTTCTCACTTCCATTGGTGCTGTCTACGTCAATCCTTTGTCTTTTTCCAGAMGGCCCGTCACCCGGAGCTTCAGTTTTGAAGTTAGTTTTCTTGCCAATTTGAGTGGTTTTGTTACTTGTGCTCGTGTTTTGTTTGTTTCTTTGCTTGTTGTCATGATCAGGAAGGTCGATCAAATGTCGACACTGAATCCGGAGATGAGCCATCAGCCGCTGAAAGCAGGGAAGTCTAGGATCTGTTGCTTCTACTGTGACTAGGAAACGTAACACTTCTGATGTGCAATCGCTGTAGCCTTTAGAATATGCTTGTAGCTCCCTACTGCTACAAGTATTTTGCTCTAGAAAAAATAAGATTTTTYGTTAGTGCCAAAAAAATTTTATTGCTTAAAAATCACAATGAAGTCTCAAGCTTAAAATTATATATATGTGCAACAAGGAGAAAACATCAACAAGGCAGGACTAAAAAGAACCACTATTTATTAGGTCGACATCAACAGTCATGTATTTTTACTTGAGCAAAGAGGAGGTCCCAGCCTAAGGGGCATTTGGCACATGTCATTAGTTGATTGGCTGTTATTTTTTAGCTTGTAAAAGGTATATTAATGGATTGTGAGTTGGGAAGTAATCTGTAGCTATTGCTTACTRTCAATCACATGACTTTTTGGAGTTGACTGGAGGGCAAACAAGGGGTTGACTGAGGGGCAACTAGYGGATGTTAAGTCAAAACATATCAAAATAAGTCCTCAAGCTATTGCATTTGACTATTTCTACGACATGAAACCARAAAACAAGAGATCAAAACAACCTCCAGGATTCTACAAGCCATCAAAAAAGAGCTATTACCGGAAGTGACGTCTATTGATAGCAACCTATAGAGAAAAGGTTCATCTGTAGCATTTTACTCATATATTTAGTAGAATTACATACTAAGAGCCGCCAGGAAATGAGGTTTCTTGAGAATGTTCCACCATCATACCTTTTTTGGTATATAAATTGACCCAAAAACTTATACATGTAAGAGAGTTGAAAAACGTAAAAAACAAACAAACCGTAATTTGCATATTCAGATATGCAAATTAGGAGTTTTGATACTATATTTAGAATTTAGAATTTGTTTACAAGGTGACCGCTTTTTCCACATATCAAACTTCATGCTTAATTTCAGAGGAAATTTACTGAGTCTTTCAATCAAACATTTCAGGAAAGTCTTCCATTTAGTTTTGGGAATTTCCAATGCAAGAGGACGTGATTTTCTGGGAAAAAAAATAGTTGAATATTTTCTGGAGCTTCGTACAAAAGAAATGTACTATGGCTGTTATATGTTTCAACCCCCTCATGATTGCCTGATAGCCCTTTTCACATCTATGTCATTCTCTTTTGAAATACGATTCTTTGTTTGGATTGTATATTCATATTTATGTGTCTTGTACTCAAGTACAACCGTTTAAACAAAGAAATGGGAAATGTAATGCCCACACTAAAAGGATTTATCACAACATTTTTGTAGTATATGATATATTAGCCGCCTTCACAATCCTTGGTGCCATCTTGAAAGGTAGCCGTGCCTTTGCATCGAAGCGAGACAAACTGTGAACTTGCAATGACAGAGAACTTTTTCTTTTTTAACACCTTGGACAATTATTCTCCGCTCTATCATTGCAAGCTCACCGTTCATCCCGCTTCGATGCAAAGGCACAGCTACCTTTCAAGATGGCGCAGGGAACTGTGAAGGAGACTGTTACTTATGACTTAATAATATACATACCTTTATCTGGTACTTTTGGGCCTTCTGCATTTGTATTGGTCACTGATACATTCTCTGTACTATTTGTAGCAACTTGTAGGCTTTTGAGATATTCTACAGTTAACTCAAGGATTTCTGCTTTCTCAAGCTTTCCAGATCCCTAGAAAATGGAAAAAAGGTATTTCATAACAGTATTTTAAAAATTTAGTTTAAATTGATTTACTCAAAATGGCCAGCATTTTGRAATTACTAGTTACAACAGTTACACTAAAATACATGCCTTAAAGGACATTGTAGTTTAATATTAACATTATTGTTAATATAAACCCTAAGTTTATGGCTTGAAAACAAAACACTTCAACCAAGAAATATTTCACCATTCAACTATTCACTTCATGTAGAGTCTGATAATGAAAGTAAGGGCTTATTTTACGTAGGAGTATAAGCTTTCAATATGCACTTAAAAAATTGTTTTCAACAACTCTCTCACACTCTATTAAGTGAAATAGGATATTCTGCACGTCTTTTATTAAAGTACAAAAACAAAGTGCTCCAAAAGACTTAACTCAGACTTCAAAACAACAATTAAAATATAGCTTAAGGCAAATTTCATGGGAAAAACAACTCCTACGTCACACCTGCTTAACAAACCCTTCCYCTTCCCCCCAAGAAAATAAGAGGAAGTACCAGTATACAAAATCATATAAATTCAAATATAAGGAGAAAAATACTTCGGGATGGACATTGATTTGCAAGATAGATTCTTTTTGTAACAACCCCTGCSCACAATTTCTTTTTTTGCGTGTGTGTTTGCTCAAAATTTCTTTACAGAAAGGAAAGGTTGTGCGATTTGGGGAAGGGGGTCTTGGGAAGGTGGACTTTGAATAGCTGGTAGTCCAGTCCGGTTTTTACATTTCATACCTGTTTTCCATTCCCGTTTAGCGCTGTAGGAACAATTTGACCCAAATTCGCCAAGCATTTATTGATGCGATCTCTTCTTCGCTTTTCGATCACCTTATGAGAACATTCCGACTATAAAAAACGACAGAAACAAAAAATAAATAAATAAATAAACGCTTTATTTTTTATAATTCAAATACGCTTTACACATTTCGTTTTGATCTAGAAATTTAGTGAAAACGTTTTAGAATAATAATTTAATTTTATCGAACAGTTAGTGAGAATAGAAAATAGGTTGTAAACTTGCAAATGGAATAAGGAGAACTCGCAAATGGAATAAGGGGGAAAAATTTTGTCGAAACGTGCAGCTAGGGATGTTCTTTGGTATAAAATCTAATATTGTAGAGTTAAGCTAGTGGATATAGATTAAACGACAGCTGGAGAACAAGGAAGCAACTATACTTTTCCTCACTAGAAGTTAGACTTAATAACAAAATAGCCATAAAAATATAAACTTACTGTTCCCTTTTTCTTGGAGTTAAACGAAGGATACTTCCAAGGTGATGGGCCTTCGACATCTATATCTGTACTGCTCTGGTTGTCCAAAGTTTGTGACCTTCTACCAGCTACACATTCGTCAACCAGATCATTACTGGCCTTCTGATTTGCCTGATCGGACATAATATGGTTTAAATTAACTTTGCTTTCTTTTCATCAAGCGAAACATCAAGGATAACACTCAGAGTAGACTAAAGTTTGATATCGATTTGTTTGTCTATATATTCGAAGCACGCGAGTAGGTGGGCTCACGTGCAAATGTGTTATATAACATAACTGACATCTTCACGTGTTTTGCAAACGTTACGAAACAAATACTATTTTWAAACCATTTTGGTATTGTTTTTCAATATAAATCGTGCTGAACGTTGCTATAGTATAGTAGTCATGTTTTTGTGGGCTGAAAATATAGTTGATTTATTTCTTTTCGTATTTTTTAACTTAGAGTAACCAAGGTTTATTTCCGGTCCCGTGTTTCGAGTTCACGTTGGCGTTTCTAAGGAGAAGGATGTAATGGTGCGCGTGACTTGGAAATATAGGAATTGGAATGGTGGAGTTCGGAGAATCGGATTTCGGAGTATAAGCAATGCGGATTACCGATTTTTTTAAACAAATGCTAGGCCTTTTTAAAGTGCTACTACGACGAAAATCGCTCAAACTTGGATTCAGCTGAAACTTCCTAAGAATACTCTTTAAAGGTCCAATAATCACTGTATGAAGTGTTTTCTCGATATTCAGGACGAAAATATTAAATATTTACGATTATTTTTTGGAGTCTGTGACGTCATACACTCAACATCGAACATCGCTGCATACATTTCTTTGTAGTTTATGATCAAAATATCAGTAGTAAAGAGAGAAAGAAATACCCAAACACCCCAAAATATAAATTATAGTCACAAGTAATGTGAAATAAGCACATTAGCCACCCTTTGGGCTTCATAGGAATAAAATAAATTAAGGATTTATATACAAAGAAATATATGTAGCAATGTTTGATGTTGAGTGTATGACGTCASAGACTCCAAAAAATAATCGTAAAAATATCATACTTTCGTMCTGAATATCGAGAAARCACTTYATACAGTGATTATTGGACCTTTAAAGAGTATTCTTAGGAAGTTTCAGCTGAATCCAAGTTTGAGCGATTTTCGTCGTAGTAGCACTTTAAATTGATGTACAACTCCTACGAAAGAATATGAACCAATTCCTTCTCTTAGTTCATATTCTCTTGAAATATACAGTTATTTAACTGGTAATTAAAATCTTATAAAAAATACACAAAAAGTAATTCCGAGACCATTTTTTATTAACTAATTTTAATTTCTTAATCAATTTATTTATTCTTATCTCAAATTATTTGGGGCAGTTTGCACATTTTAAAATACAAAGTATTTTCAGTACGTCTCTAGTTGAGATCAACATTTTCAGTTTGAAATACTTGCACTAGGCTAAGGGCAAATTTTGTGGATTCTCTTCATTTTGAAAACTGAAGCAAGTGGACTTCAATCCACCGATTTTTCTTATCATATAGAATAGTAAAATAAAAACCAGAATGTGTGAATAAGATAACAAGAATAATAGCCTACAGTATTCGTTTGAGATATTGCAAAAATTTTACAAATGCATGCATTACACTTCGGTAATAAATCTCACGCTTCCTGGCGCGTGATACGCGTGCTTGAGTATACATTAATAACTGGTCAGCGGCATGCGTAATCAACATTTCTCTCCTTTTATGCGTGCTTGGATGACGTAAACCGGCTTACGTCAGGATACAGAACCGCGTGAGAAAATATCGTCTGCATGCAAGCCATTCAGCGATTTTTAAAATAACCGTCGTACCAAGGGGGGGGGGGGGGGAATTCTTGAAATAACTAATATATTCATGATTGTAAATTACATAAGGACGTGTTTTTTCTTGGGTCCTGCTTATTTTTCGCGTATGTGTCATATACAGTCAATTCAAAACATGTTGTCGTCGACCAACTCAAGTCTCCGCGATTGGACCGAAAGGAACTCTGGGTAGCAATCATTGAAGCCGAGTTGACTCCATTATTATATCTGACTAGTTATGCGTGGTTTACAGCACGAACCTTCGTAGGCGAGCGGGAAGTGTTGAAGGAGACGTTTTTTTTTGTTTTTTTTTTTTTAATGCCTTCGTATTTTCGGATTTGTGAACTGAATCATAACTACTTGGTTTTTCTTTCCCTAAACCAAAAGACATGCAATTGATGGATTGTTTCTCGCCATTATTATCTTATCCGCTTCAGTGATTTTTACCCATATTCCTTTCGGTCCAGTCGCGTAGGCTTGAGC